TTTACCTTTTTTGTTCCTTGGTGCATATGAGGGATAGGATACTCTTATTAGTGATGAAGACTCTGGAAGTCTTGTCGTTCTCCTGGGGATGGTGTAACCAGATTCTGTAAGTGATGACTATACTTTGGAAAATGTCCCAGGTGATTCACACATTCTCATCTTACATACCCACCGTTTGCCATCTCTTGGTCCTGTTAATCGTGTTAATCATCAAATGTTGTTGGTGTTTATAACCCTGGAGGCCTTTTCTATCTTTGTGGCCTCTGATTATTTTTTTTTTTTAATGCAAATTCTGGTACAAGAAGTCTGAGGTGGGATCTTGGACTCTGCATTTCTCTTTTTAACAAGATTTGTTCATTTATTTGAAAGAAAGAAAGAGAACGACTGAGCGAGAGAGCTTCTGTCCACTGGTTTACTCCTCAAATGGCTGCAAGGGCCAAGGCTGGGCCAAGACAAAGCCAGGAGCCAGGAGGTTCTTCCAGGTCTCACATGTGGAAAGTGGAGGCCCAAGCATTTGAGCCATCCTCCACTGACTTCCCAGGCACATTTGCAGGGAGCTAGATGGGAAGCAGAGCAGGCAGGACCTGAATTGGTACTTCCATATGGGTGCTAGTGTTCTAGGTAGCAGCTTAACTTACTACACCACAATACCGGCTCCAAGGTCTCTGTTTCTTAACATTGTCATACAAATAACTTGGCTTACAATGATCATAATCATGATAACAGCACTTCATTACTGTGTTCATTTTTTTTTTTTAAGATTTATTTATTTACTTGAAAAAGTTACACAGAGAGAGGAGAGGCAGAGAGAGAGAGAGGTCTTCCATCGGCTGGTTCACTCCCCAGTAGGCTCACAGAGCTGCACCAATCTGAAGCCAGGAGCCAGGAGCTTCTTCCGGGTCTTCCACGTGGGTGTAGGGGCCCAAGGACTTGGACTGTGTTCTACTGCTTTTTCAGGCCATAGCAGAGAGCTGGATCAGAAATGGAGCAGCTGAGGGGCCAGTGCGTGGCTCACTTGGTTAATCCTCTGCCTGTGGCGCTGGCATCCCATATGGGCACCGGTTCTAGTTGCGGCTGCTCCTCTTCCAGTCCAGCTCTCTGCTGTAGCCTGGGAGGGCAGTGGAGGATGGCCCAAGCGCTTGGGCCCCTGCATCCGCATGGGAGACCAGGGAGAAGCACCTGGTTCCTGGCTTCATATTGGCGCAGCGCTGGCCGTGGTGGCCATTTGGGGAGTGAACCAATGGAAGGAAGACCTTTCTCTCTGTCTCTCTCTCACACTGTCTATGACTCTACCTGTCAAATTAAAAAAAAAAAAAAAAAGAAGTGGAGCAGCTGGGACTCAAACTCGTGCCCATAAGCGATGTGGGCACTGTAGGCAGCGGCTCTGCCTGCTACTCCACAGTGCTGGCCCCTGTATTAACCTTTGCAGAGTTTTTCTTTTGTCCCCTCATATTACTCCCAGTGCTCCCCCATATCCTCTACCCCATAACCACTGCTAATGATTTGGTATCTTTTTCTTCAGATTTTTTTCTAGATTCTACCTTAAAAAATGACCAAATAATTAACATATTTTAAAAATATGTTACATGTAAATAACATTTTTGAAAGAAACATGGGAGGTCTTCAAAAAGTTCATGGAAAATGGAATTAAAAGCACACATTTTGCATGAGTTTTGTTTTAGTACCCTCATATGGAATGAAATAATTGTTTTGATTTTTTTTTTCACTTCATATCTTGATAACTTTGCTGCCAGTGAATAGAGAATTCATCTTATTTTGAACAACTGCATGGGATTTCACTGTGGGTCTGTAGTGTAATGTAACTAATCCCCTAGATGACATTGGGCTGCTCTCATCTTTTTAACTTTATTTAACTTTACAAGCATTGCTGTTGGAATGTCTTTGTTCTGTAAGAAACATCCCTTAGTTAGAAGGTGAAAATACTTGAAATATTAATAGGTATTGCCACTTGCTCTCCCAAACGGAGGAACCAATCTGTACTTCCCGCAGCAGGATTTTAATTGGTTGCCCTTGCTTCAGTCAGTGTCCTTCAGATTTTGAAGCGTCTGAGGTGCCTGCGAAGATCAGTGGTGCTTCCATAGTGTTTACATGTTTTAAGTGAATGAAAGCTGTTGCCATGGTGATAGACTCTGGAGAACTAGTCTGATAGTTTTCTGACCTTTGGATTAGATTTCAGTTCGTTGCCTTTTCTTTGTCAGTGATGGGATGAATGCTAGCCTGAAGCAAATTTGTTTTTTTTAAAGTAGCGTAATAATTTATCACAGGCAGAAAGATATTTTGGAAGTGTATACTCCTGGAGCTTCCTTTTCATGTCACTGGTGACTGTTGCTAATGTACCGTGTTAGAATCTAAGCGTATAGAATGGGGTAGTGAGAGCTCTCTGAAGAGTTAACGGCACAGGTCTCTTGACTTTCTTGAGACAAACAAGCAGCTACTAGAACTTTGAGTTCAAAGACAGCTTATCTACAGCTATGAGGGACTCACAGATGAACATACCATATTTACAATCCTTGCCATCCATTGTTATGCACATTTCCACTAGAAAATAGAAATTCACCTTTGCAAGTTTTTAAAAGCCTATTTTATTTGGAAGGCAGAGAGACAAAAAGAGACAGAGAGGGAACAATCTTCTGTGTACAGGTTCACTCCTTAAATACCTGAAATAGCGAGGGTTGGCCTAGGCTGAAGCTAGGACTCTAGAACTTAACATGGGTCTCACATGGGTAGCCAGGGCTCACGTACTTGAGCCATCACCTGCTGTCTCCTAGGGCGCACTTTAGAGGTAGCTAATCAGAAGCAGAGCAGGGACTTGAATAGGCACTCTGATATGGGATGCAGGTGTCCCAACTGCTTACTTCAGCCACTGAGCCAAACATCTGTCCTGAAACTCACATTTTAACAACTTTTTGTTCAGCTCAGTCCTTTTGTTGCTGCTTCAACTGCATTTCCATTTAGGTATAATGAAAAAATCTTTAACTGGGGCTGGTGCTGTGGCGTAGCAGGTTAAGCCTCTGCGTGGGGCACCAGTTCGAGTCCCAGCTGTTCTTCCAATCCAGCTCTCTGCTAATGGCCTAGGAAATCAGAAGAAGATGGCCCAAGTGGTTGGGCCCCTGCACTCACATGGGGGACCCAGAAGAAGCTTCTGGCTTTGGATGGGCCCAGCTCCAGCTGTTGTGGCCATTTGAGGATTGAACTAGTGGATGGAAGAAGGCCTCTCTCTCTGTCTCTCCCTCCCTCTGTCTGTAACTCTGCCTCCTAAATAGATAAATAACTCTTCAAAACAAAACAAAGCAAAACAAAACAACAAACCCTTTAACTTGGGAGATAAGAGGATTCTGAGGGGTTTTTGGTTATATATGTTTTTTTAAATTTTTTTATTTTTTTGACAGGCAGAGTGGACAGAGAGAGAGAGACAGAGAGAAAGGTCTTCCTTTACTGTTGGTTCACCCTCCAATGGCCGGCGCACCGCACTGATCCGAAGCCAGGAGCCAGGTGCTTCTCCTGGTCTCCCATGTGGGTGTAGGGCCCAAGCACTTGGGCCATCCTCCACTGCATACCCAGGCCACTGCAGAGAGCTGGACTGGAAGAGGGGCAACCGGGACAGAATCCGGTGCCCCGACCGGGACTAGAACCCAGGGTGCTGGCGCCGCAGGCGGAGGATTAGTCTATTGAGCTGTGGCGCCGGCCAGTTATATATGTTTTAATCTGAGTGAGTGTCTGGTTTTTAGTGTAACTCTAAGTCTTTTTTTTTTTCCTTTAACAAGCAGTTAATACAAAAATGAAGTGTACAACTTCATGAATTTTTATATTCATCCATTTAACCACCACCGAGATGAAGATATAAAGCATTACTGGAGCCAGCACTGTTGCATAGTGGGTAAACCTGCAGTGCTGGCATCCCATATGGGTGCCGGTTTGAGTCCTGGCTGCTCCACTTCCAATCCAGCTGCCTGCCAATGTGCCTGGGAAAGCAGCGGAAGATGGCCTAAGCGCTTGGGCTCCTGCACCCACATGGGAGCCCTGGAAGAAGCTCCTGGCTCCTGGCTTCAGATCAGCTCAGCTCTGGCCATTGTGGTCATTTGGGGAGTGAGCTAGCAGATGGGAGACTCTCTCTCTCTCTCTCTCTCTCTGCCTCTGCCTCTCTCTCTAACTCTGCCTTTCAAATAAATAAAGCTTTTTTTTTTTTTTTTTAAAGATATAAAGCCTTATCAGCACCTGGAAAGTCTGCATGCATCTTCCCAGTCACCCCTCCCTTCATGAAAGAGAAAAAGCACTGCTGACTTGAATGACCATAGATTTGTTTTGCTTAGTTTTAAGCTTAACATATAGGGAATCATGCAGCATGCACTTTTTGTGTTTGAATTGTGTTGCCTAACCTATTTGAGATTCATACCTGTTGTGTATAGTGGAAGTTCTTTTTTATTGCTGTATAATACTATGTTTGCATATGCCATACTTTATCCATTTTACTGTTGATAGACACCTAGGTTTTTCTAGTTTGGAGTTACGGGTATTTTTCCTATACATTCATTTGCAAAAGATTTATGTATATATTATTTGAAAGGCAGATTGACAAGGAGAAGGGGAGAGAGGGAAAGATCAGTTTTCCATCTGCTGGTTCACTCTTCAAATGGCTGCCCCAGCCTTTTGGGCCAAGCCGAACCAGGAGCCTGGAATTCCATCCAGGTCTTCCAAGTGGGTGGCAGGGACCCAAGTACTTGGGCCATCATCCACTGCTTTCCAAGGTGCATTAGCTGAAGTAGCCGGGACTTGAACAGGCACTCTGATTTGGGATTCGAGGGTCACAGCAGTGGTTTAACCCATTGTGCCACAATGCCTGTCCTATACATACATTTTAATACACATGGCAGTCATTTCAGTTAGTGTGAAATTGTTGTGTCATAGGGTTGAGTGTGCTATTTGTAGTCATAATTGTGTTATACCTCTAGGTAACCACATTTGTGTTTTTCTCCATGTAGTTTGCCTGAGAATACAGATCAACCCACAGAACAAAGCGGATTTCCAAGGCATCTCCCCAGAGCGAGCCTTTGCTGATTTTCTCTTTGCCAGCACCATCCTGCACCTTGTGGTCATGAACTTTGTTGGCTGAATCATTCTCATTCAATTACCTGAGGAGTAGGAGACGGGAATTATGTAAGTGAAGATCATAATAACCATTGTCCCATTGTGTTGATTTTAGGAAGAGAAATTAAATGGGTTGGTTCTGATCTCTGTTGGCAGTGCTCCCATAGTGCTGATAAAGACATTTGCAGAATTTTCCATTGGTCTGTAAAGTATGCATTAATAGCATCGTGATTCATTAGTACTGCCGCTCTTGGTCATTGCCTTCTCACTGTTAGGCAAATCATTAAGATAATAGAAAATGAATGTTTGCCTATAGCTAATACATTAATTTCTACACCAGTAGCTCCACGAACATAGCTCATAACTGGAAGAGATTTGAATTGTAGGTTTTGCTTTTAGATTTGCTCTTAGTTTTTTCTGATTTTGATCTGTGACTTTAACTGATGGGTCCTTGTCTTCATTGTACCTGGTACTGATTTATACCTGGCCATCTGGTGTACATTAAATGAAAGACTGTGGTCATTAGTTATGTGTCCTGAAGTAGAAATATATGAGGAAATTGGATTAACTGGGGAACATACTTTAAAATGTAAGAAGGGATGCTGTTTGTTTCATTTATCCTTTCCCCTTTTTTTGGCACTGGAACTGTTCTTTTCCAAACAAACTCTTATGTGGAATTCTGGTGTAAAAAGCAAAAGTAAAGCTGGAGTTGTTTTGATTGACAGAAATGGACTAGCCTTCTCTGCTTGGCCTTGCCTTCATGTGTGATGTTCTTCCCCTCCCTCCTAAGCATAATCCTAAAACTCTAATAAGTACATGGGGTTTTCTAAACTGTCAGTCAACACTGTTACGTTATATATAAGGAAACATGGGCCCTGAGCACCCCAGGGTCTTCTCTGACCATGTAGTTAAGTGGTTGTAGACTAGTGCCTTTTTCCAGGAGTGCTCTTAGCTCAGTGTTCTTTCCAGTACCCTAGTGAACTTAGTGATGAACGTGTGCACTGTTTTCTTTGCCCTTGCACTACAGAAATTTAATGTTGTTACTGAGTAGTAGAGAAAAGACAACCTTAGGAAATACCATCATACTTGGGAGGTGCATATTCCAGGATCAGCCTCTTCTGTCCTTACTTGGAAAGCTCTCAGTTCTGTACTAAGCTGCAGAACTCTTAACACAAGAGAGCAGTCATGTGCAGAATACGTGCAGTAATGTGGCAGCGACTTCATTTTCTGGCATACATAATTAGTTACTTATAAGGATCCATAAGTCTTTTCCTTTGTATTGCCTGAAAAACACTTCTGTTAGTTTAGGTAAGGTTTCGTTTTTGGTAGTGATACGTTGACAGATGGTTTATTTCAGTGAAAACACTTGAGAACCATTTTATTCTGTTCTGATACAACTTAATTTCTTGGAGACCTGATTAAGATGAGTTTTTCCCCATCCCTGCCTCCACGTAGCCCTCCCTCGTTCTCAGCTTGCCATTTAATGCCTTGTTTTTAGAATACAGAGAAAAGTGGCCAGCGCCGCAGCTCACTAGGCTAATCCTCCACCTTGCGGCGCCGGCACACCGGGTTCTAGTCCCGGTCGGGGCGCCGGATTCTGTCCCGGTTGCCCCTCTTCCAGGCCAGCTCTCTGCTGTGGCCAGGGAGTGCAGTGGAGGATGGCCCAAGTGCTTGGGCCCTGCACCCCATGGGAGACCAGGAAAAGCACCTGGCTCCTGGCTCCTGCCATCGGATCAGCGCGGTGCGCCGGCCGCAGTGCGCCGGCCGCGGCGGCCATTGGAGGGTGAACCAACGGCAAAGGAAGACCTTTCTCTCTGTCTCTCTCTCTCACTGTCCACTCTGCCTGTCAAAAAAATAAATGAATAAATAAATAAATAAAAAGAATACAGAGAAAAGTGAAATGTGGCTCTTGCTTTCAAGAAGTGAACAGTCTAGTAGAGCAGAGGCATGGAGGCCTAAGAGTTAAAACACAATATAGTTAGAGCCTCACTAAGGATCTGTGAGAGTCCAAGAAAGTGGCGACGATGCCATCTGTAGCAGGGCCAGCAGGTGAGTTATCTGAACAGTAGACAACAGCTCTTACCAAGTGCCAGTTAACTGTTACCAGTGGATAAGCTCGTGCAGCTGGGAGACTGACCCACACTGACTTTCTTTTTTAAAGATTTATTTATGTATTTGAAAGAAGTACAGAGAGAGAGAGAGAAATCTTCCATTTTTTTGCTGGTTCATTCCCCAGATGGTCGCAGTGGCCAGGGCTGGGCCTGGCTGAAGCAAGGACCTTCTTCTGGGTCTCCCATGTGGGTGCAGGGGCCCAAGCACTTGGGCCATCTTCCACTGCTTTCCCAGGTGCATTAGCAGAGAGCTGAATTGGAAGTGGAGCAGCTGGGGCTCAAACCAGCACCCATAAGGGATGCCGGCACTGCAGACTGCAGCTTAAACTGCTATACCACAGGCCGGCCACAGCATTGACTTTCTTATTAGAATACCATGAGTGGCTCTTGGGCCCTCTGGTAGAGGGTGCTGGAGAGGTTGTAAGTCTGGTTGCCTTACCTCAGGTTCCTGAAGTTCTTTTTGTGTCACTGAGTCATGGTGTATATTTAGGAATGGGACAGAGCAAACATTTCATGGATGTTCTCTAGGCTCAGGGAGATACCAAATCATGGGAAATTATGTCCCAGAGCTGTCGTGATTGGAGGAAGACTGCTGCAGAGAGCTTACTATTTCAAAATTATGACAAAAACAGAGACAAAAAAGCAGGCTCAGCAGGAACTGTGTACTGCAGACCATATTAACAACCCAAGGCCACCTGTTCAGCTGGGAATTATGGTACAGCAAAATCTTCCAATCTCAGTTGGGGTGTTAAATCATTCTATAGAGAGTATGCTCACACAAAAGTCATCCTCTCTAGGGATTGCCCAGAGTACTTGCCACAGAGATCCTTCATCTGACGTACACTACACTGTGCCCCTGCCAGTTTGGTAAATACACATTTATTTACCCCTTTTATGTGCTTCTAACTCAGCTCTATGTGTAGTGTGCCAAAACACTTTTCAAATAGTTTCCAGGTGAGCTCACAATATTTATAACAGCTCAGAAGGTAAGATTAAACAGATTGAACAGTCTCCATATTTTCCAACTGAAAGTTGGGCATAAAAAAATAGACATCTATAGTGTAACTGGTCTTGCCTGAATTTGAGGGTGACATTTAAAACAAGCAGCTACTCTGAAAAAGGCAGATCAAAATGGCATGGAGTTAAAAAATATATTCTCAGTTATCAGACATGGAGTGCTCACTATGTGTCATGTGTTTAAGTGCTTCTTGTTCCACATCCAACTCAAAATAACCTCACGAGGATAGGTTGCTCTTCCCATTTACATACAAGGAACTGAGTTCAGAGAGCCTTGCTAGAAAACTTAGCATTAATAAGACTCTTAATCTAGCCTGATTTCCAAAAATAATTTTGTTGTAAATATATTATTTACTTTTGTGAGAGACAGAACTCTCATCTACCAGTCACTCCTCAAATGCTGGCAAAGGCTTGTGATGGGTGGGGGAGCTGGAGCCAGGAGCTGGGGATTTAACTTGGGTCTCCCATGAGAGTGGCAGGTACCCAGTCACTTGCTATCACCTGCTGCCTCCCAAGGTCTGCATTATCAAGAAGCTGGAGTCAGGACCCAGAACTGGGGAACTGAACTCAGGTACTTTGATGTGGGAGGTTGGCATCTTAACTGCTAGGCTAAATGTTGATCTCACAACTATTTTTATACTTCATTTTTGTTCAAGTTGCTTTATCATATAGTGTTTGTCAACTGCAGAGTTAAAGAAGCAAATTTAAAAAGAACCACAGTTTTGTTATCACTGTCTTCACCTTAATACTTACTTTTTTCATGGCCCAGGTGCTTGGGCCCTGCACCCCATGGGAGACCAGGAAAAGCACCTGGCTCCTGGCTCCTGCCATCGGATCAGCGCGGTGCGCTGGCCGCAGCGTGCTGGCCGCGGCGGCCATTGGAGGGTGAACCAACGGCAAAAGGAAGACCTTTCTCTCTGTCTCTCTCTCTCTCACTGTCCACTCTGCCTGTCAAAAAAAAAAAAAAAAAAATTTAATACTTACTTTTTTCACTTTTTTTTTTAAGATTTATTTATTTATTTGCAAATCAGAGTTACACAGAGAGAGGAGAGGCAGAGAGAGAGAGAGAGAGAGAAAGAGAAAGAGAGAAAGAGAAAGTCTTCCATCCAATGGTTCACTTCCCAATTGGCTGCAACGGCTGGCGCTGTGCTGATCAGAAGCCAGGAGCCAAGAGCTTCTTCCGGGTCTCCCACGTGGGTGCAGGGGCCCAAAGACTTGGGCCATCTTCTGCTGTCTTCCCAGGCCACAACAGAGAGCTGGATCAGTAGTGGAGCAGCCAGGACTCGAACTGGCACCCGTATGGGATGCTGGCTCTTCAGGCCAGGGCATTAACCCACTGAGCCACAGCACTGGCCCCCCTTTCTTCACTTTTATTATGATGGTTTCTAAAAGGCAGAAAAAAATACCAGTGTAAATGTGGCAGACACCCTTGTATTCACCACCTGGAATTAGCAGATTTTGAACAGATTAAACATGATAGGTTCAGCTATGTTCCCTTTGGATACCCTCTCCAGACCTAGTTCCTTTCCTGTCCTGTAAGACTTCATGGCAGTTTTGTTTACCCAGAACTAATAAAATAGCTAGATCTGTTAATATAAGTGTGTTTTCCAAACTTGAGACTACGGTATCCTGAACACATGGTCACAGATAGCAGTTTGGGACACCGTATAGTATAGTTAGCTACCCAATCTGATGACAGTACTGGATATAGGTCCAGGTGGTTAAGAAATGCTCCTTTTTTGTATTATAAAGATATAAAAGTAAAAACTCTTCTGATGAGCCCCTGAGCCCCAAGAATCTGGGCACACCTGAAGTGATGATCAGTGTTTGGCATGTGGCGGCAACCAAGTTTTGAAAGAATGTATGGTATGGAAGCTCAGCAGATTTACTTAAAATTTTGCATACTTTCTGTTGTCATTTATGTATTTTTTTTGTGTTGCT